TGTGGGACAGGAGGGCTGCTGCAGTCCAAGCAGCGGTGGCCCAGTGGTCCTGTCCCTGGGCAGGCAGCACTGTGAAGGAAATTGGAGTTGTGCTTCATGGAGAAACCCGTGCAGGCAGCCGGGACGAAGGAGCTGGAGAAGTGTGGGTTGCTGGTATAGAGCTGAGTGAAAGATGGGGTGGCCTGGACATGTTGGAGAGGGTTTAGTGCAGCACAGGAGAGATCCACCTGGTCTTCTTGGGAGACCAGTGTTCCTGCTCCTTGGGTGATTGGGATTGGCCTTCTTGAAGGAGACCTGGGGATAACAGCCAGGGCTGAAGCTGCACAGAAAGCTATGATACTGCTTGGGCTCGGTGATCCCACCCTTCCCAAGGGAGATGGTTTCCAAGGCAGGTTTCATCATAGACTGAGTCTCGAATTAATTTAAGTGATGATACAAAGCAGATGAACGCTGCCCTCTTGGAGCAAGAAGGAGGAAGGCAACAACAGAGACTATGAGACCCTTTGTTTCTGCTGGGGAAATGTGACAGTGAAGTTGTAGGTGGACAACATCTCCAGAACGTGCTGTTGAAGGCCCTCACTCCATCTTCCTCCACCTTCTCGGGTGCTCTCAGAGCCGTTCCCTGGGGAGCTTACCACTGCAGCAATGCCTAAGGCAGCATTTGATGCCAGGCACCTCTCTCTGCTCTTCCTGCGTGTGCCTCCACTCTGTGTTAGTGGCTGCTGGAGCTCCTCTTTTAAGCTGGGACCCAACACCTTTGTTCCTTGTTGCTGCTTGCATTAATGCCTATGTTATGATTTGAATCCCTGTGACCTTTCCTTTCTCTGACCGTTAACATCTGCGGTTTCAGATGTGAGGCTGCAGACGGGCAGGTCTGTCTGGACCCAGACTTCTGCACTGGTGCTTGAAGCGTTGCCACCGCGTGTCCTAAATCTGCTCGCTGTCTTTGCCTGTTACTTTGCCTTTCTCCGTTTGATTTACTACTTTACGGTTCTTAGCTGAGAAGTGATCTGACTGCTGGAGCTCCTCCTGTATCAAAATACAGCAGGTCTTCCAAGCGTGTGGAGCTGCGTTGGGGCAGTCTGGGAGCAAGGTGCTGCATGAGAGCTTGCAGCGTACAACACCACCTCCTGGATGAAGATCTCTGCCAGCACAAACCAGGCTCTTCCTGGCGCCCTCCTAAGAGGGATTTGCTCACAGATAAGAACAAAGAAAGAGGGGAAAAGCACTGTTTGGGGTGTGCTGGGGGTGACTCGGCTGGTCCCAATCCATGTGAAGCCTCGGGTTGAGCGGTGGCTTTAGGCAGGCAAGTTCTCTTTGAGACCAGCCTGGCATGGAGCAAAAATCCCATCTGTACAGGGTTTGCTTCTGCATCTGTCCTAATGGGAAGCACTGCTGTCCGGGCATGCAGGGAGGAACTTGCAGGAAGAGCTATCGTTGCCTGGCATCTGTCCAGGGCTCTGCTCCCAAAGCCCCGGGCGAGGATGCATGTGGGCTCTCGCTCCCTGACTGTTAGTATGTACAAAGTTGGATCACGCCTTTCTGGACAGAGCAAAACGGGATGTGTGTCGGGAAGAGCCTTTCCCCCTCGCTGGGGAGATGCAGGGAAGAGCTGTGATCTCAGAAGGAAGATGAAGAGACTCTCAGGCTGTTTTCTGAAGTGCTGCTTTTTTTCAAGCTCGGTTTCCAGCCCAGCTTCATCTTGCAGATCCATCCTGCGATTTACTGCTCCCCTTCTTTCTCCTTTCCACTACCAGCCTCTGATTTCTGGCCTGCCCTTCCTCAAGAAGGGGCCTTTGGCAGGCACGGAGGCTCCTGTCATGCCAACAAACGTCCATCGGGAAGCCTTCCAGCCTCCCGTTGGATTCAGCTGAAGCTGACTCTCAACAGAGCTCCCCAAACGCAAGCGGCCTGTGCGTTGACCTGGGATGAACCACTAAACCACAGCCAGCCCCATTCGTTCCTTTGGCTTTGGCAGGGAACAGAAACAAGCTGTTTGCTGTCCCGTTTCCAAACAGCTCCGCTCGCTCTCCGTGGGGAAGGCTGGACAACGTCCAGCTTGTTCCTCGGAGCTGAGCTTGCAAGGTTTGCCCTTTGTCCACCCCACTAGCAGGGGCGGTGGGGCAGGGAGGGGAGCACGAGGCAGTACCCGGAGGGGATGGGGCAGCAGTGCTGCCCTGGGTGAAAAGGGGTGCACAGAGGGACAAGGGGTGTTAGACAGGAATGAGCTAAGGAAGATCTCCTTAGTTTGAGCTGGCCTAAAAAAATTTCCTGAATTTAAGCCTTCTTGCATACTGCTAATTTTCAGGGCTTCTGAAAGGGGATGGAGGCAGGCTTCACCCCCGCCGGGGCTGTAACGCTGCTTCGTGGCTTAGCTGGAGATTTAAGGCTGCGCCATGCTTGCGTGAGTTGGGTCTTAGGACCACGCAGTCTTCGGGCAGGAGGCAAAAGGGCTGGGGCTGCCCTGGATAGGGATGCAGTTGCTGGTTGAACACAACGGAGAGGCTGGCCCTGCTTTGCCAAGAGGCTTCTCCATCAGCAATTTGCAAATGTTGAAGGGGAAAAAACATCCATGTGGAGGATTCTGCCTTCCCTTTTTTTTTTTTTTTGCTTGTCCAAGTGATCAAAGGCGGGTCCCTGATGGGCTGGAACTCACTTCCCCGGCAGCTTAGCTGTGGCTGATGGTTCTCAGATGTTTGTGGAGGTGTTGTTAACGTCTTAAGTATGACAGACCCATTCATCCTTGCGCTGAATCCCTCCCTGCTGACAGAGGTGTCATCTCTTCTTGTAACCGAGCAGTCTCTGGCCCTCTAAAGAGCAATGGACACGTAGGAGACCTTGCACAAGTTGCCATCGCTCATGTAGAGCTGTCAGAGACCTTCTCAACAAACTCAGCCAGCCTCCAAATCTCTCATTTCAGGGATAGATCAGAAATGCGACCCATGGGGCGGCAGAGGGAGGGAGGTAGGAGAGACCCTGGAGCATGGTGGTGGGAGCTGGTCCTGGCCACATCGCCTCAGTCCAAGCAAGCTGCTGACAGCGTTCCCCCGTCAGCGCGTGTGGGGAAGGCGTTGTGTTGTCATACGTTGTCATGTAGGGAACCTCCCTGACCTTCAGACCAGTTTCCCTGTGGCATTGATCACTGTCTCCCGTGTGGGCTTGAGGGTTGAAACCCCTGGGGGCAGGGGTTTCCCCAGAAGTCATCTCCTGATGTCTCTAGCAGTAGGTGACATCAGGTAGGTAGGTGACTGCTTGCAGCCTCAGCACGTTGCAGCTTTTCCTGGAGCTCTCAAATTTCAGATGAAAGTTTCACAGCCTCTTCGCTTGGCTTATTTGTTCTCCAGAAGCCCTTGCAGGTGAATCAGCAGAGTTACGGGATTGTGGTCCTCCTGTAGCCACGCTGTACTGGCAAACAGTATTTACTCAGTATCTGTGTGTTTTAATTTTGCAAAGGGTGTGAATGGTGGTGCTGCCTCTCCTCTCAGTCCTGCCACAGAGGATTTCTTGATGAACCCGGAGAAACTGGGTTCCTGCCTTGTGATTTTTGGCAAAAGCGAAGGCGCTGCTGGCTGCGGTCGACTCTTGGCGATGCTGGCGCAGTCGCGCTTGTCACGAAGAGTTGCACAAATGTGGCTGATCAAAAGGAGAGAAACATCTGGGGGCCGTTAGGAGGAAGAAACAGGCTCCTGCCTTGTAGCAAGGGCAGGTTAGCAAGCCAGGCTTTGGAGGTGCTGCTTCACAGGAAGGCTAAGCAAAGGTGGAGGCAGTATTTGGTTGTGTAACAGGCTCGGCCCGCACTTTGTGTGTGTTTTTGAACTTCCATGTGTGGCACCAATCCTGTGGCCTGCTGCTGCTTGATTTCCCAGTTGCAGTGTGCTTCCTGATGCAGCGGTTGGTATTTGTTCAGGATCTCCTGCTTGCAGAGATGCCTGTGACCTTGGGCTCCAAAGCAGGAGCAACTTGAGCTCTTGGGTTTGCATTTACCAGCTCTTCAGGTAGGAGGTGAGAGGATTTTGGCTCCAGCCACCGTCAGACCAGCCCCGCCGCTGCAGCTCCAAGCCTGCCTGTAAAAGCTGTATAGGACAAGTCTTGTACCCCTGGCCCTTCTGTGCCCGGGGTTGGCACTGAAATTAATGCCTGCGTGCAGATAAGCTTGTCAGCTCACGCAGTTGCCTTGCCAGCGTCCTTTGGGATAACGAGACAGCTTTGTTAGCTCTCTTCCGCAGCACAACCACGTGTCCCGGCTCCCTTCTCAGGGCAGCAGGAGAGGAGCCATGGGGGATGTCCTGGCACGTCGAGGAGCCTGCGGCAGGGGAAAAATGTTGCTCTGCTGGCTTGGTGGCTCTCCCAGCCTCGCATCTTGGCAGCGCGGAGCTTGAGGATCAAAGGGTCCTGGGAGGCCGTTGGCTCAGACCGCCGGTGAAGCAGGCTGCAGCACGGCTGGGGGGGGCCGCCGGTGAAGCAGGCTGCAGCACGGCTGGTGGGTCCTGGGTGCTGTGACCCATTGTCGAGGGCCCTGGTGGGATGTGTGGGGTTTAGACCTGGTGGCACCTGTAAGCCAGCAATGCGGGTACTGGTGTGCCAAACCGCTCCGCTCCAGGGGATGCGGAGGGGCTGTGAGTGCTGCCCAGGGTCGGGACCCCTTGCAGGAGGGGTTAGGTACTGGGTCGTGGCTTGTAACTGCCCTTTCTGGGTCCCTGGTCCTGCACCCAGGAGTTCAGCTTCCTTCCTGCCTGCCGGCCTTGTGACTGGTGCCGTTAGGAAGTAGGATTGCCCCGTTCCCCTCCCGAGCGTTGCGGCCGC